ATAATCATGTATTAGGGGGAAAAAACTACTAGTCATATTGCATATTCAATAACAAAACTTATAGGCAGGTTCCCTAAAATTCCAAGTGGCTATAAGTAGATATAGGTGGCGGGTTTTTTTCTCCATTACTAAGCCTTCTGAAATGCTTTTTCTCTGTGAGGGGTATTTCTGGTTTTTTTTCCCCTGGTGATTATACCATCCTTTAGGTGTCTGTGTTTTGCTGAGTGATCAGCAGTAACAAAGCATTTCTTTTTTAGCCGCAGACCTCAACTAGGGAAAGTTTGACTGTCTGCAGATGGTGGACCATTTCACAACTTGGCCTGGTAGTAGGCTGAAATGGCCTGCAGAAGGGCAGATGGCAGGCTGTTATCTGATGCCTGATAAATAACTGCAGGATTTAACTGGAAAACAAATGGAATTGATTTTGTTAGTAACAAAAAAGTAAAATTGCACGTCTTCATTTGGTGGGTACTCGTTCTTTAAAAGAACAGATACACCACACGATCTTTTTGTTTTAAGTGAATTTCTTTTTCAACATTTGCTCATGCAAGTGAAGCACTGTTTATTTGAATGTATAAATCAGGTTCCTTTTGTTGGATTACTTGTGATTAGAAAAAAGTGGTGCTTTTTTTCCCCTACTTCTATTTTGTATGATTTTTTTCCTCTACACAGCAGTAGACACATTTAGATGTTTTACAGTGACTTTGAGTAGCTGCAGAGTCTGCTAAATTGGATCTCAAATAACGTAGGAAGAAAGATTTATTTGATAGCATTAAACAAAATTGCGTAATTATGAATAATTTCAACCCTTAAACTCCTTTTGTGAAAAAATTTCAAATTATATTTTGCATGCAGATAGTGTAAGACATAGCTTACTGATTAATTCTATGGATTTACCTGTCTCTGAAAGTCAAAACTACAAAGGGAGGCAAAACAGTTTAAGTAGCTCTTGAGCTGAAGAAGCTGGGGTCAGAGTACTCTTACACACTGTCGACTTATAAGTTGTTGGAAGCCAGTAACTTGAAGTGGGAGAAGGAATTGCAGAGCATAACTGATTTTGTTGATTTAAATGGATTGAGAATATGAGTTTATTTAAAACACTTGTCTAATCAGAAATGAGTAAGATAAGCATGCTGTGATATTATAACTTTCAAAGTTACACGAGACTACTGTGAGAATATACTGGAAGATGAACCTGCCTAATTTCTATATACCAAGTCACTCTTGGTAGACCCTTTTGTTTATTGTAAACTGCATCTATTTTGTATCTCTCTTGCTGCTTCATAGTAAATCTTCCAATAACATCTGTTGGTTCTCATCTTGAAGAAGTCATTACAAGTTATCTATGGGGTTTTTTTTCCGTTTTATCAAAATTTGATTCTCTATACTCATTGAAAACAGGTTAATTGTGGCACTTTGTAGTGCACTTGATTAAGAGCGCCAGGCTTTGTGAAAGATAAGCATGAAGTCAACCAAAATGCTGCATTATACATATGGTGTTTTGCTTTTTATTTATCTTTCAGAACATATAAACACGCCTAATAGTATAATTTAAAAACTAAGAGGAGACATAGAAACAATTAAATCCCTGAACAAAATATGAAGGAATTAGCACATAAAATGAATAAAGGGGCCAAGTAGTTCTCTTTTTTTGTTGCTTTAAAAAAGATTAGGAGAAAAAAGAGGAGGAAGGATAGTTCGAGTGCCAGTGATGGTTGCCAGTGGCACCAGGATTGGCATCAGACCTTCTTTGTTTAGCCTAGGATGTCTGTGATTTGTTGGTTGGCATCCGCATTGCAGTGCAGAGTAATGTTACAATATATTGACAATTTCCAGATCTAAAAGTGTCAATAATCTTTTCAGTTCTTAACAAAAAGAGCTTCTACTCCCATGTGTGACTTGAAAGAAGAAATCAGGGCCAGTCTATGAAGTTCAGTCATTGACCAACTTCCTTTGGTTCTACTTTTCTCTCATCTCAAAATTCAGCATCTTTTTTCCCCCTCTATTCTGTTTCTACTATCCTCTTGTGCTTTAAGGTCTTACAAAAAAAAAAAAAAAAGAAAAAGAGGATTGACATAGATTTCAATGCTGCTCCTTTGACTGAAATGGAGGAAGAAAATGGGAAGTATACACTGTGATCAATGTCTGACATCAAAATAATCCAAATCATAACACACTTCTGTGAGGCTCTGCTTATTGTGTGTATCAGGTGTGTGTGTGTGTCCCACACAGAGCTTTTATAAAGCCCAAACTTGAAAATGGCATGAACATTGTTCCTATTGATAGAAGTGCTTTTTTTTTTTTTTCTTCCCTGTCAGGCATTAGAGCATGTCTATCGTTTGGTATGAAATGCATCTCAGTCCATAAAATTATTTGATGGTATTCAATTCAGCGCAGCGCTTATGCTGTGTTCCCGTTGCTACAAGAACCGCCATTTTGTTTGTCGAGTGCCAGGAGAGGGGAAAAAAAAGGCAGACAATGTGCTTGATGCCAATAATGGTTGCCAGTGGCACCGAGGTTGGCATCAGACCCTCTTTGTCTAGTTGCTGAATGCCTTTGATTCGTTGGTTGGCATCCGCATTGCAGTGGGCACATTGGAAAGTTTTTGACAATCAGTGAATGAAAGCTGCAGTACTTGTTTGCTGCAACAGAATCCAGATAATATAAATCCCTTCTCCTGATAGATGTTTTACTTACTCTTACAGTGGCTAATTAAGAAAAAAAATTAAAAATTGTGTTGCTTTTTTCCCCCTAAAACATAAAATATCCATAGCAATGTGCCTCATCTGCAGAATTCCTAATTCCCTGATCATCTGTGCTGCTTTTATTTTTTTTTGTCTTCAGCATAAAGAGAACTTGAATAAAATAAACTTGATGTTAGGTATTTCAGCATATACTGAATGAAGCACAGCAGACCTTGAGAAATCCTTTGGGAGTTTAAAGGACTGAAGCAATGGTACATGTAAATGCTAACATTTGTAAGTGTTTTTAGTGCGTGTGCCTCTCAGAGTGCAATTCTCTGATCAGTCATGTTACTGTTTACACTCTCTTTTGTCCTTATGTAAGGGTGATATAATTGGGGGAGCCCACATTCCCAGCTGTTAATAAACTCTGGGGTTGAGGAAGGAGAGGATCTTTTAAACTATCCAAGGAGGGGAGCAGAAAACAGACACAGATGTCCTTAGTCCTACACTGTTCAGGCACTCTTGGGTTTTTTAACTTCTTAAACCATCAAGATGCTGCCACAGCTCCAGCTGAATGACTTTGTTACCAGGAAATTGGCAAAAAGAATAAGTAATTTCTGTTGGAAGTTTCCTAGATAGTTAGCATTAATATTACTTTCCGGTTAACTGCTATTATCTCATTAATTAATAAGAAGGATTAGCAGCTCTACCCAAAGGGCTGCACAGAAGGAAGCCTGGCCTACGTGAGTCCCTGAGCCGCCAGACTGTGTCCTGTCTCTTGGGGATTGGAGGGGGGGGTGGGCCAGGAAAAAGAGAGAAAGCAAGAGAAAGGGGTTGAGAGAAGAGCGAGGGCACCGGCCAGCCAAGGGGAGAACTTTCTGTGCAGGACTCTCCTGCTGTGTTGCCCCTGCTGCCACTGGGAGGTTGTCGGGTGCCTGGTGTGGGGATGGCTTTGCCCTAGCCCTGCTGCCTGTCCACTCCCCACAATAGGCTGTACCCTGCTTTTGGTGTCATGCTCTGCACTTGTAAAAAAACACGTTTGCAGATAACCTCAGCTGGGGCACAGGGTGCCGCAGCCGCACTGATTTGAAACTGTTTTGCCCTAGCGTAATGCCAGCAAACCAACAATCCCTAACCAAGCAGGGACATCGCATTTGCCACACAGTCCTGGCAACATGTGCACCCTCTCTCACTTGAAAAACATGCCCTCCTTCCAGAGGGAAATGTAATTTTTTTGAACATGATGCATCTGAATTGCAGGAGTGGGTGGGTTTATCAATGGCTTGTTCTTTTTGTAAGGATTTTTGAGTTTTGCGAATTTATTTTCATAGGCAGCTCAAATTTCGAAACAAGTTTGTAGAGCAGTTCTCATTTTGTACTTGAGTTTTCGTTTAGCAAGTACCGAAAATTTATGATGTAGTGCATTTCTTGTGTGCACTGATGTTTCCACATACAATTAACAAAAAAAT